GGCCGGGGGGGAGTGAGCGAGCGGCTGTGTGGTGCTCAGTTGCCGACTGAGTTTAAACCATGACAGGGCTGAAATGAACTTTAACTGAACTGTTAAAGTACGTATGTCTGATTGTTTGAGTTCTTTTCCCTTTTCTGCTATCCATGCACTGTGCAACTTCAACTTTCAGGACTCCAGTTTCCCCACATGAAACGCTGGGATAAAATAAGAATCATTCACTATTACTGGTTTGACAGTGCTGGACAAAAACTCCCAACTATTACTATTTTGAGTATAAAGAATGTGTTTGAGTTACATTTGTACCAGATTCTTTCACTTGGCATTTTGAGAACATTTTATGCTTTTGAAATGCTTCACAGATTTAAATATATGGTTTTTAAAATTCTACCAGAATTCAGGCTAAATATCCCTGTTTTACATACATGGAGACTGACCAAATGACTCGTGCACAGCCCTATCATGAGTCAGTAGCAAATTCAGGATTTATGCTCAGGGCCTGCGTACAAGTCCAGTGTTCAAATCACAAGATGACTCTGATTCCAGATATAGACTCAGATATGTCACTTGGACATACAGCACAAAGACTACAACCAATAGCAGAGAGCAAGAAAAAACCCAGGGTGGGATTTCCTTTTCTATTCTCTACAGTCCCAGGAGCATCTCTCCAGTCAGAGACTTGCTATTAACAAATGCAACATTTGAATGCTTCAACAGTTTAAAGAAAAAAAGAGAAAAAAAAAATCAGTTTCTGTTCAGAGGAAATTTTTTTTTAACAACTCTGAAGTCACCAAAATAGCTGTTATAGAAACTAATAATATTATTAGAATTATGGAAATCGCATTTAGAAATACAGTGATTAAAATAATGGGAAATAAATAATACGCCTCTAGTTAACGCATCTCCAGTCAAATCAATCCTACAGAAAGGTATGATAAGAAGAGAAGGTCAAGAAGAATTTCTTGGGCTCCTTTTATCTCCAGGCAGCTGCCCACCCCAGTGACTCAAAAGTCCTAGCATGAGGCTTTAATAGCATTTGCAGATCTTCTGGGGCTCTTCAAATAAAGGGGGCATTTCAGTCCAAGAGGATTTTGCTATAAAATGGAGATGAAAACTAACTTATCATTAAAATGATGAACATCCAAATCAAGGTAGAGAAACCCTTAAGACTTTTTTTTAGCACGTGGTATACATACCAATGAACTAGGCAGCCTTCACCTGTAAGCCGGCACTCGTGGATAAATTTGATGCTCTCTCTGAAATGCCTTGCCCTGAAAACAGAAGCAGAAGGAGAATAAAGAAAGTGCTCTATTTAGTAAAATCACTACTTAGAAAGAGAGAAACATATCCGAAAGCTCACTTAACGCTGTTTCTAGAATTTAGAACTGAATACAGGTCTGACAAGGTAAAAGTTACTGTCTGCCAATGAAACGCAAAACTCACTGGCATAGTTATTCTCCACTCTACCTGAAGAAGAAACTGGTATCTCAGGCACTACAGTGTGATAAACATTAACAAACACTTTATTCCGATGACTGTCAAGTCTGTATTTCAGTTTGAGTTTTATTCCTTTTTAAACCAGTAACTTGACCTTGCATGTCCTTGCGTATGCTCAGATGTCAGACGAAACTCAGCACGACTACATGAGCAGTTCTCAAGGTATATTGTCTCTCACAAAGAGGCATCCACTACCTGCTACCCAAACTTACGCTGAACTTTGACTTCACTTCCTCCTTCAAACCATGTACTAGGACACATTTAGATGTTACGACTTTCTTCTTTGCAACATGAAATCTCACCCTTTTGTCCCTACTATGAAAAAATTCTCAATTCAAGCCCTGACTTCTTCAGGTCCTTCCAGTCTCCTCCCCTCAGACTGCAGTACCCCTTCTGCCTGCCCGTATTCAGGGTGTCAGTCAACCCCTGCCTACAGCCTACCTTTTTTAAAGCAGTGGAGGAGAAAATGCGGAGAAGATGAAGACTCAGTTTACAAACCTTAAGGTTTGTACTCTCATTATCTCACATGCTTCTTCATTTTAAGTGGAGCAAGTCTGACAGAAAGTAACTGGGCAGCTGTCACCATCTCAGTAAATTTGCAGCATCGCCTCTTTGCATCCCAGTCCCAAGTTGCTCACCCTGCCTCTGTCTTTCAGACTGCAAAGCCTTTGGGACTGCCTGCAATTTATCGCAGGTGCAAGCAGCACCTCTTAGTTCAATAGAGCTGGAGTTCACTGTGGCCTTTGAGTGCTCTTGCAATTTAAGCTCGCAAGCAGTAGCAATGTGTGCAACACAGAGGAAAGAGCTTCTTAAGAGGCAGTCAGTACCGGGCTTATTGGCAAAGACGAACCTGAAAGCACACTGCGCTCAACACCCATGAAACACAACGTCCTGTATTCAAGATGTTTCCCCTCTCAGGGTGAATATTATACCACAAGTGTAGAAGAAGAAAACCTCAGCCCAGCACCAGCAGCCACACAAAAATCAGGAATACCCACATAAAAGGAAGGTTCCCTTCCTGCCCAACAGTGCAGCTGCTGATACTCTAAACATGCAAGACCTGGAGGAGGACAACAGTGATGCAACAGAGTGACAGTGCCTGTGGAACTTGCAAAGGCAATGATGCCTAAGCTGAAATATCCAAAAAAAGGGATCCCAAAGCCCAGGACTCCCTCTCCAAGGCAGTTCTTGCATCACTGGATACAACACGGAAAACACAGCTGGAGAAGACTTGAGTGACTTATTTGGAAAACCTCAAGGCATGATGCAATCACAAGCTTTAGGACAGCATGTGAACTCAGGATTTTGTTTCTCAAGAAACCAATCAAGTATGTGGGATAAGTGAAGAAGAGGGACGAAGCCTCACAAATGCATTTCTACTCAGACTGCCACTCCAAAACATTTTTACTGGCTGAGTTCTAAAAAATCATGGCGCTCAGGTCTGTCTGGGGGGCACGAGCAGCTTCACATAAATGAACTCAGAGGACAAATGAGATGTTGGGCTGTGTGCGCAAGAGGCATCGCTATTGCACAGTGCAGGAGTACTTATCCGAGATTGATCGGATTCAGTCAGAAGAAACTTGGTTAGGGCTGGATTGACAATGTCCCAATCTTCTCATACACCCATCTTTTTCTCTTTCTCTCTAGAAAATCTGGCCAACAGCGCAGCTCCAAGCACCAGTGAATTCACTTCAATGGTCTAGCACAAGTTTTGGTTAAACACTTCAGTGCTTTGGTTTGAAAAGTATCTGCGAATGAGCATAACACCTTTGCAAGGTACTAAATATAGCTAGCAGTGAACTCCATTCACTCAGTTTTATTTGCCCTTCCTTATTGCTGACACTCGGTCTGCTGAAACACTGTCAAGTGTAAGGGTTTACAGGCATTCATTAAAAGGAGAAGAGAAATAGCCAAGCTTAGAATTAGTGCTGCTCTGTAGAACCGTGGCCCCTCCTCACCTTGTGTCAGAGAAAAGGAGAAATGTACTCCTCCACAATCCTACGACATCAGGGTCTCTGCTGGCTCCAGCAGACACAGTTGCGTAAACTCATTTTCAAAGTTATAGTACAAACCATATTTACGTGAAAACTAAGATTGAGGACCAGTTAGCTGTGTGGCAAGTGCCAGACACAAAGAAGAATGGCAAGTCTTACATTAACCACAAACCAGTTGATTATCGCCTGTAACAGGAAAGCACTTGACAAATATGTTGATTTGCAGCCTATTTGTTGGACTGAACAGTTACTTCGAGACAATTTATTACATGATATCTGGGTTTTACATCTCCCAGCTTAAAGCTGGGTCCTGAACTGCATCATTTTCACAGTGGGAAAACACCACAGGAAGAAGAACCAGTCCAGTGCCCCTACCAGCATGTTGTAAAAGTTATCTAAACTTACACAGTAGCAAGCTGGATAATCCAAAACTAGGCTGAGGGCAGAGTTATGATACCAGATCTACATATTCATTTGTTGCTAGTCAGAATTCTACAAATATTATAGAGGTTAAAGAAAAGCATCCAAATCAGATGGGAAGAAGCATCTCGATGTTTTTTTCCTTTGGCAATGGAAATGCAACAAAGATCCACCTAAATTTTTTTTCTCAATAGGTTATCTGGCTTCTGTATTATCACCACTGACAGCCTGACTGTTGGAGGTTAGTTCCTTAGGAACACGTAGCCTAAGACAATTAGCTGGAACAGGACAGGAAGGGAAGATTTGAATTCTATAGAATTAACATTTAGCAACAGGTTCTATAGGAGATGACATTTCTGGAGAAGTCAATGGCCCAAGGTAAAATTCTCACAGTCCAGGGAAAACACTCATTTAATGCCTAGGAAGCACCTGAGTCTCAAAAGCAACTGTTTGATTCTTATGCTTGGTAGGGACAGAACATGGGAGTAGAAGCAAGCTTTTGAGCCACTTTGGTGAACACCCACATGTTAACAGGGGAATCCCTGCTGTATTTCCCTAGCAATTCATTCCTCTGAGGGAAGGAGCTCCACTAAACAAGCTTACTAGGAGTAAATGTGCATTACACACATAAGAAACCAGAAGTTTCCCTCGCAAAAACTGAGCTGAAGTGAATTAAGAGCTCACAGTCCCAAAATTCAGTGTGTAAAGGCTTTCAGTCGGACCTTATCAACCTGCCAAGCAGTTGCAAAGTAGCAGCAAAGCTTCTGAAAAACTTGCTGTTGGGAGAGACAGACAAGACAGCAGTGCGTATCTGGTCAGTTGTGCCTTTCAACCATTGCTAAGAAAACACAAGGACCTGCAATACAGGATGCTGCTTTTTTTTTTTCCTGATACCACCAGGATCCCTCTTTTGAAAGAAGAGGGTAGATACACAAAGATACTGCAGAGACCGATTCCCTTTCCTGTTCCCCAGCTATCCCTCCCTCTGCAGAGGGCACAGGCAGTACGGTTAACTGCTCCTAGATAAGACTGTGTCAAATCCTCACAGACTGAACAAAGACAGCTTCCTCTTGCTTTCAGAAGACTGTATGTGCAAAGCAAGCAACATTGCTATTTGCGAGCATCATGATTTGATTTTACTTGAAGATCTGGACTGTATAAAGCAAAAAAGAAAAGTCGGTTACTCATCAAGTTTTATTTTAAGTGATAAAATGTATCAGTATTAGAAGTAATGACGTTTGCTTGCAACCACCTGATACCAAAGCAAGTATTTTAGATGTCTGCAGCATAACAGAAACAATACTCATGCAAATATCGTATCTTCTTACTGAAGCTTTAAGAGCTTTGGTACTGCGCCAGACAGCTCAAGCGCTGGAGGTGGTTTTTCAATATAACTCCTTGATATTTAACAGTGATACCGTACACTGATTAACGTTCATCACAAATGCCATCCTTTGTTTCCATTCCCAGATCTCTATTAACAAAGGAAGCAGATTTGCAAAACGTTTTCAGAAATGCTACAGATCTCAGAATACCAACAAGCAATTAAAATGACATGTGAATGTTTCCCTCTAATCTCGTATTTTTTCCTTCCCAAAAGGATTTTTTAATTTTTAATTTTATTTTAAGTATTAAGGCTGCAAAAGTTGTCCATGACAAAGGCAGTTAGCCATCTGCCTTCTCATTACAGACCTGTCTTGAAATGTAGGGTTTTGGGGTGTTTTTTGTTGTGGGGTGGGGGCGTGTGTGTTGTTTGTGTGGTGTGTTTTCTTCTTCCCCCCTTCCCCTAAAATCACAACAGAAATGCAGAATGAAAAGGCAAATCACCACACATTAAATGCCTCGCTGGAATCTTTCTAGGGTACAAGAAACACATACTCTAAAAATATCCCCCGAAAGCATGAGCTGGAATATTGCTGTGATGTGAGAGAAAAGCAGTGCTGCACTTCCTTCCGTACCTACCAGGCCTCTTTCAACTACTTGTTTCTCTACAAAACTTGGTAGCAGGATGTGGCTGAAACCCCCCTCACCTCTCCCCAACATAAACAGTGAGCTCTAGAAGAAAGAGTTGGTCACCATCCAAGTTCTCTTACAAAACCTGTTTTGATTTCTCTTTGGACTCAAGACTTGCTGCTCAATGGTTCAAAACATTAAAAGCAAGGGCAAGTCAATTAGCGTTTCATGAACGTTAGCGGAGACGAGAAAGAGCAAGGCTGGGACACCCTAGTTTCAGTACATGTATCCTCAAGGCAAGAGTCACCGCAGGGCAGAAACTTCCCACCGTGCCAGCCTACTACTAAAAGCAGTGGGGCCTTCTAAGGCAGGTTCAAGAAGTCCAGAGCAGATAGTTGCAGGGGTAGTTTGCACGCTGGGACTTTACCTTGAAGGCCCACTGTGAGGAATTTATTTCAACCCTTGAAGCACCAGACTTCATACCTCTTTCAAATATTTTCTTCTTGTTAATGGCTGGAGATAGCGCCAACAAAAAAGAACAGCCAAGCAAAAAGATTTACAAAAACAATGGCTAGAATAAACTGGGACTAAATTAGGAGCAGACTCACTAAGGAGCTTCTGAAGTTTAAGGCCACAAATGAAGAAGAGTGTTTACATACTGACCCTCCTACAAACCCTTACACACAAAAAGCAGGGTCTGAATCAAAGTGGCTGGAATAAAGTGTTACTGTGTTTTCTTAACGGATTAAAAAACACATCTGTGTAACAGTTGTGAGAGATCAGAATTGGATCTTTCAGCTGCTTGTAAAACAGGCATCACAGTACTGAGGGATTTCTGGGGTTTTGTGATTTATTTTTAAAGAAAACTTACAAGTTCTGCGAGGGTGAGTCAGCAGCAGGAATGCACAGATACTTCACTCCCTGTGTAAAGAAGCAAAAAGGAATGAGAAGAAGATATCCAAGTTAAATACATTTATCTACCACTATGCAAGTCCTGCTCTAGACTGGTGCAGTTTTATTAACTTTGAGAAAGGCACACCATTATTCAGACAAGCAGAGATCATCTCTATGCAGCCAGATTTTAAACCACTGTTTTTCCATCTGCTTTGTTGCTAAGACACAAGCACATCGCTTAGTCATGCTTATCCCAAGGCCCAACAGCGAGCTTTTTAAAATAGAAGCATCTTTACTAAAAAGGTGTAAACCTCTTTTTCAAAATCTCATTCTTCTTACATTTCTAGAAAAACTAAGTTGCATCTTCTCCTGCCCTTCCCTTTCTCCGAACAGATGCTACAACCTAAAATTGTGATAAGCAATTTCTTTTGATCTTATGCAATCATTTTTCTTTACCTAGTTGATAAACCAAACAAAATGCATTTCAGAGAAGAAACATGTTTGTGGTATGCATTTTGGGTTTTATTTTTTGGAAACTTCAAGAAGGACAACCGTAAAACTCATACTTTTCTTCCACAAAGTTAGCCTCACTTTCTTAGTCAGCTATCGTAATAAGTTACAAGATCAATTAGGGAAGTTAGATAACCATTTCTGATGCATTAAAAATGTTACTGGGTATATTTAAAACAACACTATAATCATACACTACTGCCTTGCATTGTCAATGCTCATTTTAACTGCCATTTTATTTTCAAAGCTTGTTTTGCTCCTATGACTGTTAAGAAAAAGAACACTTCTGAAAGCATATTTAGCTAACTTCTCAAATAGGACTTCCAAGAATATAGGTTGCAGCTCAGACGAAAGACTTCCAAGAATATAGGTTGCAGCTCAGAGGAAAACTAAATCATTCACTGGAAGTCTTTCGAATTGTCTCAGAGGCGGAGTTATGAATTTTTGAGATGTACTTGTAAAGATCAGGATTCACAGCAAAAGGTCCACCATAAAATGCACCTTAATTTATCTTTCTGTAACAATGCAAACCCCTGTAATAATCCTGCATGTTAAACAACACACATGGAAAGTCACACATTTATCTATAAGAGATCCTTTGCTAACAAGATGGAACACAACATGCATCTACCAGGCATCTCATTTGCCAGCTGGGGTGGGGGGTGAAAATTCCATTGCTCAGCTGTGGTGGCTACCTGAGGCAGTATCTTCTCCAACACCACCTTTGCTTTGCTGGCTCAGAAACCCCTCCTTAATTTCCCCTACGTGCACTTTGTTACTTTACTTGCCATCTTACGCCAAAGAGCAATCCCTTTTATAAGAGGTCCTGACCCCTGGCACCATGATACACCATCATGCTAATCCTCTGCAAGGTGCATGAACTTCACTACTATGTCATAAAGAATGTGGTGATACCACACCCCCACCTCTTCACCACCACTTACTTACACATGGCACCAGCCATTTCCTCAACCTACCAGAACCTCTTCAGCCAGTGTCGTCTTCACAGCCACACAGATTTGAGAGCCTGCCCTGTCCCCACCATGCTTTACCAGACTTCCTCACTCTGACAGGCCATCCCCAGTGTGCCACAACTGGAGCAGAGATGCTACTGTCTGCGGCCTTCTGGTGTGAGGAAGCAGAGTCAGAGCGGGGAAGGCTCTGCAGACAGTGCTAAGTGTGGAGATGGGGACGTGGCAGCACCTGATGAGGGAGAAGGCACCATCAGGACAACACTAAGCCAATGACAGCACGTGGCATTTTACGTGAGAGCTGCATGGCAAAATGCAGCTGAGGGGAGAGAGAATGAGAATGAAGTCAGCATGCAAACCAAAGCAGCTTGCTGCCGGAGACGACGGTATCAACAAGTAACAGTCCCTCCTGCCTTGTGTCAGGAGAAGGGATACCTGCTGTGGGAAACCAGGATGGCTCCACAGCCATAAGCTGATCCACAACAGCTTGTACAGATACATTCATTTAGACAGACGATACAGCAGTAATACATATATTGATAGGCTGCTGAGCCAAGGATGATAATTATATTGTGACAGATCAATTACGATAATAAGCATCTTGTATGACACATCCGAGAGGTTTATCTCGGACACTAGTATCACTTCAAGTGAGTCACTCCAGTAGAACGAGGGCCTGTGACCTGAAAGTAAATTTACATGCTATTCTTTCCCCCATACCTCTAGACAACTCCATGCCACTAACTGCACCACCAAGGGAAAAAACAGGAAGGAAACTGAAGGTGCTTTAACTCCAGAGCACACTATATGCCGGAAGGTTTGCTCCTTCAGCTTGCATTGACGCAAGTTGTACCACAGATTTCAGAAGCTATGGGACATGCTGAGTGCTTTTCACAAGCCGAGTGCAGAGGGGCTTTCAGATCATGTTCACTTTAAAAGCAGAAGTAGCACTAGCACAAGTTTAAGACCCACAATGTTCTTTTTTTGTCATGGCTGGCTAGTTCCCAGTACCGCAAGCAAGCATGAAACTAGCCTATGAGAGACCACACATAGTACTGAATGGCTCATCCAGAGCCTGATCCTGGAGGTCTTCAGCACTTATAACTTGCAGTGAAGCCCACGGCACTCTTTTCACTACTGTGCTTGTAAATGCTTAGCATCAGCCTATTAGCCTCATTAATACAGCTTCTCAGACAGCAGATGGTTAAAGTTACTAGAATTTGGTATTTTGACCGACGCATGTCACTTGTATGGTGTTTTTGGAAGGCTGTGGTGATGGACTCCTCCCTGTGAGGAAATAATCACACACTCAACTCAGAAATAGTTAGAGGTGGGATTTCAAAAGTACTGTGCAGTGACCTAACCTGACTCTTACAAAAATCAACAGTGAAACTCTCAGTGACTTTGACCCAAACACAGTTTGGCCAGAGTTGGTAACTCCTGAGGATCCCACCCTACCACAAAGTTTTGCTTCTATTGGTGGAAATAACAATGATAATAATAGGATCAAATATAATTCATTGTAACTGGATACCTGAAATACAAAAACGACACAAGATTGTATGGGGCAGGTATTCATAAATGAGACTTCAAGAGATTTTCTGTGTAGATACTCATATGTTGATTGCTGGAATTAGCTTTTCTTCACATACACTGGATACTCTTTCTTTTTTAAACACATTGGCAATAGGAAGACACTTAATTACTGAACCCTGCTGTCTGTGACTTTTAAAAAAAAAAAACTATCCAGGATCATAATATTATTTGTATATTTATGTCCCAAGACACTGCTGTCCTTCCTGTGCATATACCCTGCAGATAACATCTAAGAACTGTCCCAAAGGGACCTTTCAAAGCAGAACAGTTTATGCCAACCAAACAAGTAAATACCTACAACATTTTAGATGGGGTACTAGCATGCAAGAAAGATAGACACATCACTATTTTATTACCTAGCAGTTTGTTTGCCATTCTGAAACTGCAAAGCACAAGATGTAAGAAGGCAACAACCATTGAAACAGCAACTAAAACAGAGTAAACTAAACCAAAGATTGTTGAAGAGTCAAGCAGACCAGCTCCTAGTGAAGATTTCAACACGCTCCAAATCAGTACCTAGTCTACAGTTTCATTAAACAAACTTGAATCTGATTGCAAATGCAATACCCAAAGTTGAACCACAATTGCATATTAATAAAGATGGGAAGACAAAATACAAATTTTATGTCAACCATATGGAAGTCTTTATTTTATTTATTAATTTATTTTAAAATTAACTCTGTTTTGTTCCCTAGGAATGACAATTCTCTAAAAATTATTCAGTGGAGGGAGGACAGAACAACTCAAAACAGGTATTATACCACTTCACCTACACACACTAAATTAGGTGCCACAGAATAGCTAACTCATCCCAAAACATGGTATTTGTTCAAAGCAAAGAGAAAAGCTTGCAATTATAAAAACTGATGAAAAGAGAAATATTACTTTAAATCGTACATGAAGTAATACATCCACTTTATTTTTTGATTACTGCTGCTAATATATTGTTATTCAAACATTTCTTCATCTGACAGCTGTCAGTCGTGTCTTATCTCTGCAAACAAGCTTTTTCCCAGATTACCCATTTAAAAAAAAAAATCAATCCAACCTTTTTAATTAAACAGAAGTTATGTATGTTCTCAGGTAATAAAACATTCCATACATATGGAATGTGTTAAACCCAAGCTCCTAGGTCAATGAGATGCTGAACACAGCTTTCTTCTGCTCCTCTCGATTCACTACTACTATCCACTTGTTACTTTTAAATCATTGCTCACTTTCCTTTCTCCATCCATCACCTTTAGCACCAAACACCCCCACCCTTCACACTTCTCTAAACTTTTTCCTTATTATCACACTATGATCCTAACCGATGCCCCCATCAAATAAAAGCAGCACTCCCATTTCTTTTGGTGTATTTAACCTGTTAAGATTACCTCAAAAAAAATCAGTAAAATAAAATATAATTTACTTTTCTGTTTTCTGTTTCAGCAGAGTAACCACCAAAACTAGATTTCTGTCTCTCTTAGGCCCTGAAACTAAATGCTACAGTTAAACCGATACAGTGAGAGCTAACAAAACTAGGGCAAGTATTCCGATTTCAAGATTGTCAAAGTTGAAACAAGCGAGAGTTAAGTAAAATTTCTAAAATTCACTGTTATTTGAGAAACAACGACAACACATGCACAATTTCATCACAGATTCTAGAACTAAGTTCTGCTGCAGTGAATATCAAGGTATTAAAAACAAAAAGGTTAGGCGCACACATATATATGCAGAGGTTTTACACTACAGTTAATAAGGTATTCATGGAATTGCAGCCAATTTCATGTTTAATTATTTTAGAGGTCGATCTACTAAGATCAGAAACTGAAGAGTTATCTCACATTTGGAAAAGTCAGTAAGACTATATAGAACAACACCCTCCTAATATCATTATCTTTTTTTAAAAGATAATTAAATCTTTGTTATTAAATCCAGTATTTCATGAAGTGCTCAGGAAACTTAGCA